TCCAACAGGTTTTCTTAATGTTGCAGGGACTGTGCAGCAGGTTTAGGGGCAGGAAAGATGACTTGTGTGTGTAACAGCTGTTTCACAGACAGATGAAGGGACAGATGAAGTGAGCTTTGCAGAACAGGGATCCAGCTATTAGAGAGAAACCTCAGGGAGCAAGAAGACTTCAGGAGGCAGAAGCAAAAATGGGAACTCTTCCTTCCGCATTCTGGCCCCCTTGGGACCTGCTTTTCTTTCCCAGCTACCGTGGGATACAGGACCTCTGTACCCCATCTATCTCTTTCTAGAATCAGCGGTCCTATCAGACAAAAAGCAGTACTACACTCTTATTTGCTACCTACTCCTCTGCAGGCACTTCTGTCAGGAAGAAAGCAAGAAACAGCTAAAGTTAGGCCTCATTCCTAAGGAAGAACTGTACAGGACAGCTCAAGAGTGCTGGCAACAGGGGTTGCCCTTAACACAACTGATCTCTGGTCCAATTAAAAGTAAAAAGGAGCCCAAACTGTAGCAACCAAAGCCTCTACCCATAATGTCATCTAATCTGCTTTACACTAGCTGCCAGTTCTTAATATCTTAATAAAGAGTTGTTCATAGGCCACAAGACTTAATATGTGTCATGGTTTAAGCACAGTTTCCATGGTAAGGCCTTGGGTCTTACCCAAGTCCCCCCCTTCCAAGGAAAGGGGACCAAGATAAGTGGAAGCAAATCCACAGTACATTCTGACAGATTGTATGGCAAGGGAGGACTCCATGATGTTACATGGCACAGGGGCTATTTCAGGATCCCCAGTGCCCTGGGACATGCAAACCTGTTGCTTGTCTCTGGGAAGGCTGATTGTTTTTGGCAGTTAGTTTTACATGCTCTCTGGGTTAAGTTTTAAGTCCTTGAATTTAAGCCTGGATCAAACTTTCAGTGCTTTGGCTTTAGCAGTCATTAGCCTAGTTGATACAAGGCAATATCACTGCCCAGAAGGGAACCTCGCACGCTAATGTGATTAGTCAGACAGACCTACATAGGCCTGCATGTGCTACACAGTACCCAAGTTTCTTTATTCCTCTTATAGCAAGAAAGGATAGAAAAATCTTTATTTCAAAGCTTTTTACTATGATCAAAGTTCAGCTTTCGACACATGCAAGCCTGCATTATGGCTTTCCTTGGATGAGTTCTGTGAATGCAAGTCTTACATCCAGGCCAGTCTGCTCTGACCATTTCTGCAGGCATTTAATAAACTGCTTGCTTTATAAGCTAAATTTCATCCTTTTAGGGTATCTGAGAAAACTGTAACCTGTAACTTACCTCTGTGTTTACTTATATAAGGCAGAAGTGGGAAAAGTTATTTGTTAGTAGTATTCCAAAAACCAAAAGCATTTACAGAAAAAATAAGCAATTAAGGGCTTCTTCCATGAAATAGGAAAGTACTCAGCAGTTCTGAGCCACAGCAACTATCAAATTTCATAGAATCATAGAATGGTTAGGGTTGGAAAGGACCTTTGGGGCATCTAGTTCCAACCTCCCTGCCATGGGCAGGGACACCTCACACTAAACCATATCACCCAAGGCTTCTTCCAACCTGGTTCTGAACACTGCCAGGGATGGGGCATTCACAGTCTCCCTGGGCAACCTATTCCAGTGCCTCACCACCCTAACAGGAAAGAATTTCCTCCTTATATCCAATCTAAACTTCCCCTGTTTAAGTTTTAACCCATTACCCCTTGTCCTGTCACTACAGTCTCTAATGAAGAGTCCCTCTCCAGCATCCCTATAGGCCCCCTTCAGATACTGGAAGGCTGCTATGAGGTCTCCATGCAGCCTTCTCTTCTCCAGGCTGAACAGCCCCAACTTTCTCAGCCTATCTTCATATGGGAGATGCTCCAGTCCCCTGATCATCCTCGTGGCCCTTCTCTGGACTTGTTCCAACAGTTCCATGCCCTTTTTATGCTGAGGACACCAGAACTGCACACAATACTTCAAGTGAGGTCTCATGAGAGCAGAGTAGAGGGGCAGGATCACCTCCTTCAACCTGCTGGTCACGCTCCTTTTGATGTAGCCCAGGATACAGTTGGCTTTCTGGGCTGCGAGGGCACACTGAAGCTGGCTCATCTTCAGTTTCTCATCAACCAACACCCCCAAGTCCTTCTCCATAGGGCTGCTCTGAATCTCTTCTCTGCCCAACCTGTAGCTGTGCCTGGGATTGCTCCGACCCAGGTGTAGGACCTTGGACATTTCAGGCCTTATCAAAAAAAGCAATCAGAGATTCTAAGAACAGAGAAAAAGTCTGTAACACAGACATGCCCCTCCTGACACTTTTTGCCATTACACAGGTAAAATGAAGAACAGCCTGTCTTTGCTCCCAAAAATTCTTACCTGTGAACAAGGGTCATAAATTTCCAAGTGTATCTGCCTCCCATCCAGGCATAAGTGTTTAGTGTAGATGCATTCTAAAAAACATATAGTATGCAAAGAAAACCAGCATTAGTAACTGGGAATGGTGGTGAAAAGGCAGCAAAAGTGAGACTGGGTAATACTGAAGGTTCCTTGAATATTGTCTAGATTTTCAAGGAGTCTGGGTGGTTTTTCGTGGTTTATTTTTGGGGGGGTTTATTTGGTGGTTTCCTTTGATTTATGTTTTGTTTGTTTTGTGGTGGCATTTTTTGTTAGGTTTGTTTCCAGTGTGCATTTAAAACAATTTCATTTTCAACACCCGAACTGCCCAGCCCCTTAAGCTGACCACCATTTCACTGTGGTGTCCTGTCAAAATGTTGATGTAATGAATACTGTCAGATCCTAGTTTTCCTCTTCCAAAATCTAGGTAAACTGGATGTACAACATTTAGAGTCAGCTAAATGCTGATGATTTCTCAGCTTGATACCAAGGCTCAGTGTTATGAAAGTAATAAGCAGGCTATGTGTAAGTTCTGATTCTGTACAAAAATCATTATTTAGTCATAATGTTTATTTACCATGAAATCTGGCACTTTAAGAGTTTTCGTAATAGGCAGCATTAAACCAATAGTATTTACAGGATCGTGTCCTTAGACCAGATCCTAAAATATTTCTGTAGTGTCACTTCTCAGATTTAGGACTTTGCAAGGCCACTAGCAACCCTTGCCGACGGACTGTTACTATTATTTTAAACTGATTTTTCTAAGCAACTGTAACCAACTTGTGTTCATGGTACTAGTCATCAATAGGCTGCCTACAGTATAATTTCTCAAGAGTTACTGAACTACAAAGACAAGAAATGGTTTTGGCACTACTGAAAATACACTTCAAACTGTGTATTAAGTGCATAGATAAGGTCTCCAATCTCTGGATTTAGCATCTTCAGTACCATACTCATCTGAAGTGTTCTCCATGTGCATCGTAAGAGTTCATGGTGAGCTACCAGCCCAAAGCATCTCAGGGTATTAAAATATGCAGCCTTTTGGTGGTTTCCATAATTAAATTTTTAACACATACTTTGACTCTACTGACAGTGGGAGGTTCTTTATCACCCATATTCCTACTTTACTCCCCCTTCCTCCTCTCTAGAAACAGATCTAAACTTATCTTCCAACAACCATTTGTTAACAAATGAAAATGCTTTGGGGGTTTTATGTGCCTTTTCTGAGACTTGCAGTACTGGAGGATCAGAACAAGGAAACCTGGTTTTAGTTTAGATTACTTAAAATACAGAAAGCACTACATAACTTCATAAGTTACACATGACAGCTTAGAACTGGATAAGCCATCTGGGACACAAACTGCCCTTTCAGTCTGTGTTTGTATAGTAACAAGTATCAGTAGAGCATTTATGCACAACCGTAACTCCACTTTCAGAATAAGTTCATTTGGGTATTTTCAATGCTTAGTACTTCTATTACTTCATTACTTCAGCTTAGTACTTCTATTTTACATTTCATTTATTAACCTTGGGAAGCTACTCTTTTCGTAAAAAAATGGTTTTGGAAAGACCCCTCCACTTTAGCAAGGAAAGTGAGGCAGGCAGCAATCTCCATACCCTGTTAAGTTCTGGGATTTCTCATGCCCCAGAAGCTGGAGCGGCAGACTTCCAAAGTTGTATCAGTTAAATAATGCTTCCATCCAGGATGCGAAAGTTCAAATCCTGCATTGCCATCTCCCAGGACCTCACAAGTGTCCTGAGGATCAGTGTATTTGTTCTGGCATGAATGAGAAATTCTATCCTCAGCATGGCAAGGCTTTCCACAAAGCTAGTAAATCAGTCCACTCCTGCAAAAGCAGTAGGCTTTGCATTATGCTTTGATTAACCAGTAGTGCCTGATAAACAATCAGTTTCACCTCTCCTCTGGAACTGAGAAGAAGATACGCAACAGAACAGGTATTGGGGCTGTTTGTTTTTTTTTCCAGTCTATTTCTTTACTCTCTATCTCCTCTCAGATTGAGTTTACTATAATCTACCCACGCCTCGCACATGCAGCCTTGTTATCTTTCCTTCCTAAGCCCCTCCACAGTTGCTTTGTGACAAGCACCGCATCAGCCCGCTTGTACTTACTGGAGTTTTAAGTGATCTCTCCATAGATACCTGGCTCACCTTCTCCCGCCTTCAAGCTCACACTTCATTAGGAACCATTACTGATAAGCAAGCAGAAACTTAAACCTTTCCGAGAAGTTCTGTGGAACCGCGTTTCTACCCAATTCCTTGTTCAAGCGTTTGAAGCTTCGCATTTTGCCTTCTCCCCCACACGGCCCCGGGTGGAGGCCCCACACAGCACCACCCGCTCCCGCCGCCTGTCCCCAGAGGCTCACCAGCGTTGGACGCGTACTCCCCGATGAACCGCCGTGTTAGGAACCGCACCGCCAGCGCTGCGGGAGAAAAGAAGCACACTCCACATTTAATGGGGTTCCTCCCGCCCGCCGCACCCAAACCCGTGGTGAGGTCAGGCTGGGGCCGCCCTCCTCCCTGCCTTACCCGACTTGCCGGCTCCGCTGCCGCCCAGCACGGCCAATTTCACTTCGGTCATACCGCCACCAGGCCACTTACCGCCGCCTCCATTTCTTTATAGCCGCCGGGCCGAGCACAGCTCCCCCGGTGACACCGCCCAGCAGCCCGCCTTCGCCCCGCTCCCCCCGCCATTCCCTGGCCGCTTTCCCCGCCCCGCCGGCGAGGCCGGTAGGTACAGCTGCCTGCGGGGTTCGGTAGTTTTCATCCTTTCCGACAAACATCCTTCTCCTCCTACCTCCCACGGCCTTCTTCTCCACCGCAGAAACTTTGTTCAGGCGGCCTGCCTGCTGCCCGGCCCGGTTCTTTGCAGGCTGGCGGCTCTCTCGCTTTCTCTTCTTCCCTGCTCTTCTTTCCGGCGCCTCTTCTTCTTTCTCGTTCCCCCTCCGCCCCAGGCCTCACAGTGCGCTAAGCATTTTTAGAAACTAGGGCAAAAGGGGAAAAGAAGGAAGAGGCATTCCTTAGCTGGACTGTGTGTTTGTTTATTTATGCTGTAAATTTGTCTGCAGGCTGTCATCTTTTTGTAGCAGGAATGTGAAAGTGAAGAAACTAAAGCGATTATTTCTATTTTAAATGTTTCTGAAGTTTCTTGCTAAAAGAAGTGTTTTGTGCTTCTCTGGTGTTCTCCACCCCAGCTTTCAAACTAATCACTAAACCTCTGATCTTGCATCTTGGCGGATGGTGCTTAGCTGAGGCTTACAACGCTTACCTGAAGCTGAAAAATATGACAGATGTGGTAGGTGAGAGACAAAGGGCTAAACCCGCAGAACCTACAGCCTGCACCTACTGCACGTCTGTCGTGGTTTAAAACCAGTCAGATAACTTGTTCACTCACTACCCCCTTGGTAGCACTGCACCAGCTACCAAGGAGAAAAATGACTGCTACTGCTGAACCCAGGACAACGTCTGATGTCAGAAGGCTCCTCAAATGCTCCCTAATGGCTGTCGAGCTCTGAAAGTGCATAAAATACTTGGGTGCATAGGTCTGATTAGTCCACTGCTGAACAGAATGTTGCTCCAGCATCCAAGTTACACTTGTGTACTTATTCTGTTCATGTTCATTTTATTTGTTTATATAACTTGAATACTTGATTCTGGTATTTTTACTCTCTTCTGATGAAACTGTTGTGCATTGTATAAATGCTTCAATAAAGCACTACTTCAGTATGCTTGATAGTAGGTATTGCAGCTACAACAGATTTACATGAGCTAAAAAGAAAAAAAGCAGACAAGGTACTTGCATGTATGTTTGTTATAGCTGAAGGAAGTGCTTAGTGGAGAAAAATATATTTAATAATAAACATGTAGGCACAGCTTGGCTCCAAGATCCCTGACTTACAAGTATCTAATGGGTGTTTTGTGAGTGCTGCTCACTTACAAGAAAAGTTATGGTTTAAAAATAACTTTAGTTATTTTAGTTTAGTTTTTTTAGTTCTGACCTTTTTTGGCTATTTTAACATTAGTTTTTGAAGTCGTGTGGTGCCGAGATCACTAGACTGGAGTCAATATTGGTATAACTGGCACAATTTAGTATTTTACTATTTCATATACATTGAAACCACTGCAATAGAAAATCTAAAACCATCTTCACCATTATCAGTGCTGCAACTTTTGCAGGCAAATAAATGGTTCTGGTGTGATGTTTGAACCTGTCTCACAGCTTGGGAACGTACTTTAGTTTCTGTTGGAGTACGTGCAGATTATGACTATGCCATGGAAAGGGTGATTAAGGCAGTTTTAACCCGATAAACAGGCCATGGTACAGGAGAACAGAAGTTAACTCCCGAGAAGGATTTGGCTCAAGATGTGCTTCTCAGGTTGGCTTTCTCTCCTCCGTCATTTTTTTTGCACTGCTTATTCATGGCAATGTTGGACTCATTCCCACCCTTGTGGTGTCTGTTGTGATACTGAATAGGGAAATAATTACATTGTTTCAGCTCAGTGAATTCTGTGGTAGAGCCATAGTAGAGATTTCCCAGCAACTGTGGGAAGACTCGGGTCTGTTTCAGACGCTCTTGCAGCCAAGTGACTGCAAGTGAAATCAGAAGGTAAGAGACTTCACTGTACAGGAAGCTTATGCATGAATATTAATGATATGGCAGCTTGTTCAAAATTAAATACTGCAGTACTTGGATGTAGGTTGTCCAAACAGAATCCAGCTCTCCTATTCACTTTACAGGTACTTAACTACATGAACACTTCTCTCACCTAGACAGCAGATGTGATAACCAAATTATGGTGTTGCCCATGTTAAAGAACATATTGCCTGGAACTTTTATTTCTTTTAGTAATACAAAAATGTTCGTAAGAAGACTGAGACAGTTATTGTGTATATTCTGTATGTGTATACATTAAAGCACTAGAGAAATTAAGTTTTAATTGCAGATGAAACAACATGAATGTTTCTGTCCTGAAAGACTGTCTCCATTCAAATTCCCTCAGCCGCTTGCTTTCCTTCAGCATGACTGTCCTTACCTGCAATTTAGACAATTGTCTTTTTCAGTTCCTTCCATTACTGACTCTGTGCTGGAACAGGTTTACTTTCATTACCCATGGGTGTAAATGACTGTACAAGGGTAGAGGTGCATAGAAAACAGTTAATCTCTCTAGTGAGAACAAGCTTACATGTTAGTTTTGGGTTTGGTAGTCAAAACTGAGCAACTCTGCTGCTCAAATTAGAAGTGATGAAACTTTTTACATGTGTAAACCTCTGCTATGAAAACAGTAGACTTCTAATAGATATACTGTAAATAAATCATTAACCAGATAAGTTACTTCTGCAATGAACATGGTGAAGGATTGATTTTGAATTGTTTAAGCTAAAAGTTTTCAGAAGTCTGCAGATCACTGGTGAGATGAGGTCACTTTGCATTTCATTCCCAGTTTTGTAGATGAGGATTTCTGTGGCTTGATGCCAGTATACCTCTGGGAGTCAGAACTGCTTATGGGAAAAATTAGCATCAGAAAAACATTTACTTTCCTTTTAAGTGTTTTGGTTTTGGTTGGTTTTTTTTTTGGTGCAGCTTAGCTGCTGAAAAGAAGGTGAAATTGGGAGTATTTGACTATCTGTACTCTGTGTGCAACCATAATGGTTTGATCCAGAAAGCACAATTAGAAACCACTGGCTGAAGCAGATGCCAGCTCTTTGCTTTGTGTGGCACAGGATTTCTAAAGCTTGCTTATGTTTGCATCCCTGCAGAATTAGTCCCCTTTTGGCTTAGGAAGTAATGTTTTCCAGAGAAGATCTGTCTTTTAAAGCCCACTTTCCATCAGATTGTCAGGTAGAGCACTGTAAATTATGCATCTGCTGCTCTAACTGCTTCCGTAGCATGTGAACTGGCCAACTAGAGGTCTGAAACCACAGCAAAACTAACAAAACTAGAAGGACAGGCTTTTCAGGTAAATGTGATGTTTTCATCACCTATATACTTGGATATATTCTTCAGTGGGATACGCAGAATTATTATTCATGACAGAAGTCATAATTCAGCATAGTCTCAGTTACTTTGTATTCTCTTTTCATGGTATAATGAAAAAAAAGAAAATTGCCATTTTCCCCTTCAAAATAGCAAATTGTTCTTGGTGGCAAGTTGTGTTATTCAGTGATTGAAATTTTACCTTGCTGGCCATGAGAAAGTGTGGGGTGTTTTTATTTAACAGAAATTATAGATTTTATCTGTGATAAAGTACCATTAGTACTCAATTGGATGAGTACTCAATTTTCATGTTGGATGTGAAAAACAGAACTTTAGCTTCTCACAGACCCTGAAAGCATGTATCCCTCATGGTATCATGGAAGGATTCTGCACTTTCATGAAATGCTTCCTAGCTGATAATCATTAGAGGTAAGGACAGTATGACAGGGTTAGGTCTGTTAGAGCTGCTGTTACCCTACACCCAGCCACAGCAGTGCACACAGATGGTGAAGCGCTTAAAGGACTCTGCTCCAAAGTTGGGACACCACATATTCTGGTGATAATAGCTTGTGGTTAGTGTTGTGGGAATGAAATCTAAGGCATCTAGACTTCAACATTTACAGCATGTGTCATCTATTGTTAATATAAATACATATCTTTTATTCATAGCATGAGAATTAGAGTCAGAATCTTTAAAAAAGAAAAAAAAAGTTGTTTGATTTTTGAATAAACAGTGCACACTGGGTTGTGGAAGTGGCACACCAGTGTTACATTACAGTACATTATAGTAAGATAAATTATCAAACTGTTTTTTTCCATTTCTTATTTTAAGTAAGTACATAAATGGTCTATTTGTTTAACATCTGTTCTACACAAACTTTGGGACACAGATTATCTTCTGAATAGATACCTATAAAGTAACTAGCACATGATAAAGTCCTCTATATTTTACTGTAATGCAAATATTAAAAATAGTCTCATCAAATGGCTTGGACTGCCACATGGAAGTTAGAAAAAATTTTTTTTTTGAGTAATTAAGTTGTTAATGACAAGAAGGAAAGGATTTAAAATTATATTAATCTACCTTATGTAATTTATACTTTTAGACACATTTTTTTTTGTGTGTGTGTGAGTTTCATATGAGACTTTTCCCAGAAAACAGAAATCTTTTTCTATGTAGTTAAATGTTTACCTTAACCCAACTGCAGCAGCATCTGAGTTGCAAGGCTAAATGCTTGCAGAGGGTGCTTATATCCAAGTCTGAACATAAAGGTTACGCTTTTTTGTATTTAGTGCCTAGTGGAATGTTATTTTAAGTTATGTAGAATTATTTGGAACAAAACCACAAAACACATCTTTAACTAAGGCCTGTACTCGAATTCAATTTCTGTAGTTTAACAAATTAAACACAGTATATAGAGGAAGTTATTAATAATCTCAGAAGAAGTAAACAAATTGAAATCTGTTTCTGAAATTATATCAGCCAGAAATCAATAGTGGTTGTTGAAATAATGCAATGTTGAAGACATTTCCCTCCTTTTAACATTGGAAGGAAAAGAGATACTCTCAAGAAGTGCTCTGCAAGAGTTGTAAAGTAAGGCAGGGATATCATCCTAGAATAATTAAATAATCTGGTCATTGAAAAGTATTTTTTAAGATTTAAAAAAACAACATTCAAAGGCTGGAAATGACACCTAACCTATTTCTGCTGTGCTGGCAAATGCTTTTTAGTGGTCATTGATGTTTTTTCAGTCTATATTGTGATTAGAATCCTACTGAGAGTTCACAAATAAGTTACAGGGAGATAAACTAGTGTTTGAATTTGCAGCATTTTAATAGTTTTGTAATAAAATGCCAACACATATGTTCTTATCTCAAGTAAATATGTGAGATATGTTGATCTGTAATGGAAGTAAAGTCTTTCTGCGTAGTACTTAAGGTGTTAGTGTTGAGCTATAACGTCTTAGTCTCTGCTTGGGGCCCTTCAAGTTTAATGTCAGCTCTTTCAATAATCAGCAGAGGCTTGAGATTGCTTCCATCATTTTGGAGATGAAGCAGGACTCCAGCTGAGCGTGTTCCTTGTCATCTACAATTCTCCTAACTCTCAAAATCACATCTCCTGCCTTTTTTGATTGTAGATATTTTCTGCAAAAGCCTGGTGTTTGAACAGTATATATGAGGCAGGGCAGAGGACGGATTATTTTTTTTTCCACAGTGAGGCTTATCTCTCTGTAAATCCATGACTTGAATCATTATGGGAATGTGAGAAGGAGGAACACATTTTCTTTTAAAAGGTTTTATGTTTTCTTTTAAGTATTTAGTATTTTTTTCCTGATTTTCTGTGCTGTAAATGTAGTAAGGTTTGTCTGTGGGGTATACACTACCTCATAATAGTATCTTCTGGATGAGGTTTTTATTAGATCACAACTTAAATAAGCAAATACTAAACTCCTAATTTCTACTAGATTAGTACTGTGAAGTTCAGAGTGCTTTCAAGCTGAAGTTGTATTATGACCAACATGTATTAGAAGAATAAAATTGGAAATTAAAATAGTAACATTTATTCATAACTTACTGTTCTATGGGAGATGTTCAGTCTCCAAATACAATGAGCTAAGTGTATCAGAATCTAAACATTGCAGGAAGCTACAGAGCTTGATGCTGGGTTGAATATGAACCAGCAACGTGTCCTTGGTAGCAAAGAAAGCCAGCAGCATCCTGGGCTGCATTAGGAAGAGATTTTATCGTCACCTGATGGGACAGTGTAAAGAAATGGAGCCAAACTATCCTCAGTGGTATACAGTGACAGAAAAAGTGGCAATGGGCACAAATTGAGGTACAAGGAATGAATTTAAAACATTTAGTATTTTACCCTGAGAATGATTGAAAACTGGAAGTGGTTGCCCAGAAAGATTGTCAAGTCTTCATCCTTGGAGATACCAAAAACCCAAATGGAGAGAGTCCTGAGCAACCTGGTCTTACTAACCCTGCTTTGACAGGGGAGTACTGGACAATTTCCGAAGGTTCCTTTCAACTGTGCCTAGGTTTCCTGGCATCTAACGGTTTCTTCACCTATTCTATAATTCTGTAAGATTTGGTGTTTTTTTTTTGGTGTTTTGATAGACAAAGGTGACAAATGCAGATGAAGTGCTCTGTTGCTTACAGTACAGGAACTCAGTTGACCTGATTACATTTAAGTTTGAGACTGTTTATAGATATTTAGTTTTATAATGTAATGCTGTGTCTGTGTATAGAGCTGTGCTGGCCGGCCCTTTAAATCTAAACTGTATTAAAAAATAGAATGAGTTGGACCACAGGATGGTTAGTTTCATTCTCTTTTTTTTCAGGTAATGTTATGGTACCTGGAATTCTAAAACTGGAAGACGGTCCAAAGAGAAACAGTAATATTTGCCTTAGTAGAGTTTTATAGAGGCATTTTTTATTTGATGGTGAACATAGTTCAATGTCCTTCTAAGTTCATGCTCATCGCAGTTATGATTGAGCCACAAAAAACATCTTTAAAAGACCTTGGAAGTTCTTAAAGGTACTGTTATTGCAAGATGTAATTCATATGAAAAGATGCTGAGCACTCCAGAATCTATCAGCCAGAATAATCAAGTCATAATATTGCTATGTGATTTTGCTTATACTCTCTAATAGGCTTGTGCACTTTTAAAATAGTTCCAGAGAATTTGCAAGTAGAGTATAATTAGAATTATTTATTAGTGTGCTGCAGTGTGTCATTCTAGTGAGAACATTCCAGCGGCTCTCAGTAGAATTGCACTTGGATAACTAGCTGGTAAAACCCTGTGTTTTTTTTAATAAGCCTTCTGTTACTAAAGCCTATAATTTGGTTTAATTTTTATGGTCAGTTTTTCTAATTAAATGTATCATATTTTCATTTCAGTCTACTTAATATTTTACTAAACGTAGTTTCACCAGAATGAGATGCTTATAGTCTAAGATAAGGGTTCAGACAGAGTTCTAATGCAGATCAAAATGGTAACAAGTAATTATTTTGGTTATGTTTTGTACATAGATAAAGACAGAGATTCATCTGATGTGATTTTTATGATCCAAGTTACTATTAATAATTATATTGTTTATGTAGTTTTTGGGCAATGGCAACTGTTACAGTTTAGTATGGTTAGTATTACTTTCACGTTCTCACTTAGGGGTTTTGTTTTGCTTGGTGCAGAAAGAATACAAGCATTTCAGGGCTAGATTTACTAATTTAGAAGCATTACCATTGGAGTTAAGACAAAAGTCACGGAATATTTTACTTGGTCTGAAATCTAGTAGGAGCTGATCTGACTCAAAATTGACTTGATAGTGTCATATTAAAAGTGCATCTGAAGTGTATCACATTAAAATATCTGAAAAGTATCTATTTTCATTAAAACTTACTGAACTGTAATATACTGAAAACCACTTTTTTCAGTAGTGCATAGGAAATCTTGCAACATTCTTGCTTAGAAACGGCAAGTGTAAAACAGCACGTTCACAGAAAGCTTTTGGGTTTGGGCTACATTTGTTTTTTTTTTCTTGAGGGCAATGTGTAAATGTATTACTGAACCATTTTTTGGACTTTATTTGACTGTGAGAAGTTCTTGCATGTAGACTCTCATGAGAAATTTATAAATTATTTTATTCTCATTCATATAGTGAGGATAATAGGAGGGAAAAATAATCAAAGTTAGCTGTAGAATTGTGGAATTCAGGAATAGAAACAAGCCCCAGGTATATAGCACTACAGAGCATATTGTAGAGGCACTAATGGGGCTTATGACTGTGAGGAAAAAATACCTCAGGATTTAACATCTGAATCTTGAATTGTTACAGATTCTTTGTATGCCCACAGCTGTTGACTGCTGCTGAAAGAAGCAGGAGGGAAAAGAAGACTACAAACACATTCATCAGTAGGTATCTGCATAATGTAAATACCTAGTTACAGCCAGTTTGTTTCATACTTAATTTGTTAGGGGGTTTAATTAGCTCAGGTTCTATATGAAGTTTTAATTAGTGTACAGAAAACTGTAACTGCTCAGAACAGTTGATAAAGTGATGACAGCTCACTGTGTGGGCTGGGAAGAATCTCTTTGTTTCAGAAGAGCTAGATAATGTGAAAAAGATGTACTAAAAGGCAGGAACAGACTGTTAACTGAGTGGATTTGCAAGAGCAGGCAAACTAAAGAGGTGAAAAGACATCCATTTTGGCATGTTGTGCTGGGACAACTTTCTGTGGTAAAATGTTTCAGTGAAGGTAATGATTTTTGAATTTGAAACTTGCATAGGAATTGTCTACTTCTTTACTTGTCTTTTTGTTTTTTCCCTTTTGAGGCCTGTTGGTGTCTCAGAATCAATAGTTGCCTGAAGGGCAGTGAAATAGGAGAGCTTTAGTGGTCCTGCGGCTTGCTTTGCATTACAATATTGCTGCTCCATTTAAAAGTCTCAAGTGTTTTCACTGTAGTGGAATTAGGGGGGAATAGTCTCCAGTTGGTAAACAGTGTTGTGGCTACATTAGCTAATTTAGAAGAAGGTGAGATGTGGCCCCGGAGCACTGGTGGCACATCTTGACACATTTGCAATCGAATGTTCATTTTTTCTGTGAGCATCCTGATAAATGAAGAAGTATGTTGACAGAAATTATCAGGTCAGGAGGAAAATTGAGAGTACTCCCTTGCAATTTATTACTTGTTATGCATCACAACTAGCAAAAACGGATTTTCATCTGAAAGGACCATGGAGCATATAGGAAATTACATAGGTTTAGAAATGGTTGCTGCAACATTAGATAGAAAAAGTATAACCACTGACTTTTCCATACACTTAGTTATGTTGATGCACGGATAGACTCCACAACTCATTAAAGTCGTAAAGTAGGTATGCTTTATTCAGTGCTGAGGCGCATGGGGGATAACTCCTCCAAAAGCGTGCACACCTCAGCGTTGTTTCCCCTTTATATTTATCCTCTAAAGTTATACATATGCATGAGATTGTACAACATGCCTATACATATTCATGTCCTATCCCTGCTTCGTATTATAATGAGCTAAGAAGTACTTTGCGCCTGCGCAGTGCCTCCAGGTGGTCATGGGCAAAGGTCTCAAGATGAAATAAACGAGTCTTCCTTGAGCCTGAACTTTTCACCTCTAGTCTTTACACATGCTCCCTGGAGGCATGGTTGTTGTCCAAAGTGCAGAGCCAATTTCAGCCGTCCTAGGCGCCAAGGGAATCAAGTTGTCCAAAGGCACCAAGGGAATCAAGTCACGGTCCCTACCTCTTAGCAATAGCCACGTTCTTATAGTTTGTTCTAGCATATACGGCTAGTACGATAAGCATGAACGAGTAGTAACATTGTTAAGTAAGCGGTTTTATCTACCCCCTTGTACATTGTAAGTACGAAAAGCATGAGCAAGCAGTAACGCTTAAGCAAGTGGCTTGGCCTAGCCCCCCGTACATCTGTTAACCTTTCATATCAATGTAAGTTTCTTTATTTTTACAAAGTAACCTAAATAACTGATCTCAGTTTTACATGTCTGAATTCTTTCTTAAAGGAAATAATGCTAAATCACATTTCAGTTTGCATGAAAACAGCCAAGCCCCCTGCAGCCCACAGATCATGACCTTAATGTCAGGAGTCATAAACTACTGCCTCACCTTTGCAGGGCAGACAGGAATGGTGTTTTGTGAGCACTTTAGAAGAATGTTATGAAAAGGAGTGACACTGCTCCGCTACTGAACAGGCTTGAGTATGGCTGTGCTGGGCATGTGAATGTTCCAGATTGACCTCAGCAATGTCTTCTGCATCACTGCTCCCACAGCCTTGAATTCAGATTGCCCAGAACCTGCAAGTCAGTGTAGACCCATTGCAGCTTACAAAATGCAGCCTTAGTCAGGGGGCTATGCTTGCCTGCTAAATATGGTTAACATCCAGAGATTTTCTACATTGTCACAAAATTGATGTTCAGATTACACCTGAGATAAAATAGGTTTTGTTTTCTGTCATACCCTTGGCTTGGTTTACAAAAAAAAAAGAAAAGTCATAAACCCTTCCATTTGTTGAAAAATATATGTAGGTCTCTAGTGATCTTAGTTGGGTCAACAGGGATGTTTTCTGTCTGTCTAAATCATACTGAGATTTTTTATGGTCATTTTGTGGGTTGTAAGGCTTTTATAAGCTAAGTGCTATCAAAAGCCTTATGCTGTTCTGTTGAAATCAATTGGTGGTTTTGCTATTGCTTTTCAACAGTAGTAGGATTGATGACTGAAACTGAGCAGCTGTTGAAAGGTTAGTTTTAAAGTAGAATTGTGGTCAGAAAAGCAAAGTGACCCTGTCAAACTGGCATGCTGGGAGCACTACATTTATTTTTTCTCAGTGACTTCCAGACCAAATCTTCTCAGTTTACGAGTCAAACATTTTTTATTGACTTCCAGAATTGCAAAGTCAGCCTCAGTCTGAAAAATCAAAACTGTTACTTCTGCTTCAGTCTGCAGAAGGCTCTTCATTTAGAACTTGGTTGACATGTCACTGATGCATGGCTCAATCCAGCGTGGCTTTCTATGTCTGTCCTAACTCTGGAGGGTGAAAGCTGCCACAATAAAATTTTATTTGTTAGGAGAGTAAACAGATATGATTTGCAGAGATAAGGGGATTTATAGGGGAAGTCAGGGCCATTTTTATATCTTTCTTCTTGTTGCATCTGCACTTTAATCCTTAATTTCTGCCATGATAACAATTTAATGTTTTCAGATTTCTTTAATCTGAGACTAGAGAGTCTAAACTGTCTTCATTGTAAAAGATATTTTCCAGAAGTGCTTAAATTTTATGATAAAAGCAATGATTTCAAGATCAGTTTAAAACTTCAGAAACCACACCTGCCCGAGGTGACTCCTCCCAGGTCGTGCAATTCCTTGTTTACTCTCAAGGGTTCGCCAGGTTACACAGGAATGTGTATTGGAGAACTAATTCAGTTTATTACTGAATAGCTCTTAACATTATATAGTCACAGAAGGGGCTTCAACAGATGCTCACCTGTCATAGCTGTGCCTTAATCTGACCCTGACCTAAGAATCTTGATGTGGCTCCTCAGGCAGCACATACATCATCTGATCTTAATTGCTTATTTGATTAATATACTATAGTTAAGATATATGCTCAGTTGTAAAGTTAAGGCCAAAGCCCTTCCCTTCTATCACAAGTGCAGCAAGGGCAAACAGATTCATTTAGAGTCCAGAGCAGAACATCATCTTTCTAATAAGGAGATTAACTAGAACTGTTGTTTCAGAGTTAAATATGTGAAGTAGCTTCCATTAGCAATGCTATGGGCTGTTTTAGAAGTTCCTCTGGATCTTTATGTCAGTTATCACAAAGAACAGTAGTCATTCCTGTGCCAGAATGTGTGTGTGCACGCTTGCTTTTGATGAAGCGCATATGACAGATGCACAGTTTTAAGACATGCTGATTTCTGCCATGCTTTACACCACACGTACTGTTTTGAGTAATGCTTTGTGGAACTTAAGTGTGTGGTCTGAAACAATACCTATTTTTAAGGACAGCCAAGCATTACTGATTCTTCTGAAGTGTGAGCATATGCTAATTGAACTCCTTGGGTGCTACAAAAAGTTGTCAGATTTTTACCATGGGAGATTTTTTCATGTTTTCTCTAGATTTTTTTTTTTTTTTAATTCCTCAAATTCACCACCTGTGAAAGATCATAAAAGTGTTGGTGTTTGCCTTCATCTCTAGAGTTCTTCCTTTCTTCTGTAGATTGCAGAATTGTTAGTGACTTTGTTAATCTACTGGAGGTGAGATTTTTTTTGTTTTAATGAGAATGTGATATGGGAGGAGCTGCTTGTTGATCTCTTTCTGCTTCCTTGGTTGCTAGTAAACCTTTGAAGGGTAGAGGAAGATTGCTCCTCCTAGAGAAAGGCTGAGCATGTATAGATTAGAGAAATTTTTGTGAGCTGGGTGTTACAAAGAATGGGATAGAGAAAGTAAGGAGCAGGGAGAAGGTTGGAGAGTAAGAAGGTGAAGTGAAGCAGAAAGCTTCTCTGCAGCGGGGCTACAGCAATATTTTTGGAGGTGGTAGAAAGAAAGCTCCCTTGAACATCCAGAGGGTTGTTTCAGCCAGCAGCTGCTGAATGAGACTTGGAAAAGTTCCAGTCTTCAAGATTACCACCCTTGGAGTGGAGGTTGGTTTCAAACCCAAATCTTTCTGTTTAGTGTCTTGCCCTGCAGATGTTTTCTCTTTATGAGGCTTCTTCCCTCCATTCTTTATTTTGGGTCCACTCAAGAGCCAGTGTCAGAAATTCTGAGTGTTTGGTATTTGTTGATGTGCTTGCTTTTTAAAGAAGTTAGCGAGTTGCTCTTACTTTTCAAATTGTGGTAAGGTGTGATTATATTTTCACATGGATCCAGTGTTCCCTTTGTATTGAGTTGTGTAATCTCTTCAGGAACTGGAACTGTGATCTCTTTTCAGTTATGTAAAAAGCCTGTTCGCAAACATATAGTAAAACTAAACCATTTATGCATCCAGATCAATGCATTGAATCCATGATCCACTGTGTTCTACTTTGCTGTTTTGCTGTGTGGGCCTAGCTCAGGTTAGTAGTACAAGCACTGAAGTTCCTTTTCTAGAAATACCCACCTCTTTAAACAAAAACCAAACAACAAACAAACAAAACCAAGAAGCAGTCCAGCAGAAACAACAAAATTCTCTCCCCATCCCCATTTGGGTAAGCAAACAAACAAAACCACTAGAGTGATTTGAAGTACTCAAATAAATGACGTATTAACCTTAGCTCTGCCAAAGGTTATTCTCTTTGGCAAAAGAGCCCCCACATCTTTTAGACAACAGTGAGCTTATGGTTAAGAGGCAGCCTCATAGCAAGATGTTTTTGTGCTTGAGCTTATTGACTCA